AATAAACCGTGGTGAGATCAAAACGTCTGGTTCTTGAGAGCATATGTGAACATTACAATATTAACTAGGATACTGAATGTCATAGGCCAACTAAAATTAACAAAATAGAACAACAAAATTGTATTTACTATAAATACATCAGCTGCCTTATTATTTTTGGTTTTTAAAAAACTGTAACAGCTTTCTGCAACAACAATTTGAAGTGCAACAACACAGCACTACAAAAATTAGACTAATGATTAAAAGAAATTCAATGAACCTATGTACTTAAAACATGGAGCTTGCCTGCTCAAGCACTTGCCTTGCTTGTCCAGAGGGAAATGCCTCTGTGGGATCCACAGGCTGACTTTGGGCTTTTGCTAAATGTTGCGTACTGTCTGAAAACGTGTTGCTAATGTTTTGTTGACAGTTGGTACATGATAGAATGTAATTCATCTAATTCATCTTACTGTGATGTTAAGTGGGCTAGAGCAATTCAGTTCATGTATGTAGCACCAAATCACAACTTCTGGCTTGGAGCATAACCGGTCAGTATCACCCTTCTGTCAGTTTAATTACACATTTAAAACCTGAGATATTTTGGTATTAAAAAAGAATCACAATTTCATCTGTACATCTCAGTTTTTCTACATGATAAATGATGAATCTATTTTGTAAGGTAAATTGAACACTGCACACTGTACTGCTTCACGGCGTGTGCAGCCATTTACATGGCTGTAGAACAGAAGCATAGGGCCCTTTGAAGGGCTGTAAAGCAAAGGCCTGCGGCCCTTTGAATGACGGTACAGCAAAAGAAGGTGACCCGCAATAGTGTTTATTTTTTCCAGCTGAGTAACAAAAGGATCGGAAAGATCGAGTGAGGATCTCCAAGCAATAGATGAGAAAAGCAAAGAGTATGAACAGAATAAAGTTAAATTTAAAAAAAAAAATGCCAGGTGGCGCAAACTCAAAAATATAAATTATTAGCACATATTTCAAATTAAATTTTTAAAAAATTTGTCCCATGATTGGACTGGGAATTTTCTAGACTTACTCACCACTCAATGCATTTTACACGTTTAAATAGACAATTCGCTGAAAATTTTGAATCATATGTATTTCTGTTATTTCATTTTATTCTTATTTTAAAATATCTGTGATTCATGCCATCTGTTAATATAATGATGTTTGCCTGATGGTGCTCAATGTGCAAATTTTACATTGATTTGTTTATTAAATGGGGGAGGAGGGAGGGAGGGTAAGGCAAAGGACAGGGGAAGATGCTGACAATAAACGCACACCAGGTGCTTAGGGGGAAAGGTATATTGCAGTGGAATCAAAGTTATTGATTACTCTTTCATATGGTTGTTTGTTTGTTTGTTTTTTTGTAATTCATCTAATTCATCAGATTAAAGATAAATCCCAGCCAAAAGTGAAAAAGAGAACACTTCCAGCAGGCTCCACATATTTTCAAGATTGAAGAAAAAAAGTCTTTAAAAATTCACAAGATTTTATGTAAATGTAAAGTGACATTCCTTTAAGTTTTGATTTACTGTAATGTAAAAGTACAGAAAGTTTCTGTGTTTTAATCATTTTAAAAATCGATATTTTTATACGGCTGTTGGAATATTATTAAATTTGTTTTAACACATTTCTTTGTTTTTTTTGTCTTGTTTCATTTTGTTTTATATTGTGAAGAGTAGCATCTTCGTCAGTGACAGAGCCTTGTATGAACAAGTAGGTTTTGCTGTTGTGTGTGTGATCTCTAAATGCGTGTTTGCACTTGTGTGCCCAGCATACATGACACAGGAAAGTCTTTTGAATCATCTAACCCCCCGGGTGCTTTTCATTGCACAACACTTAGCTTAGAGTTAAAAGTGCCTACGGACACAGAAAAATGCATTCTGGTACATCACATTGGGACATCCGTTTTTAAAGAATGGATATAAAAATAACAGTTCATATTCTGTTTTAGCACAGATACACAGATACAGAAAAATTCTATACGACACTCATACATGGTCATGAATACAAAGCTTTAGAAAGAAAACGGAAAAGCGGGACTTTTAAGGAAGAGCATGCCTCTCGGCATCCCTCCCCTCACTGACAGCATGTTATAGCCTGCGAGGCAGGAAAGGGTTCAGTTCGGTTTTTATGGTCTGAGCTCACAAGAACACCTTCAGACTTCGGGAACAATCACAGAGAGATAACAAACCATAAAAAGGTGAGTAATATCATGAATGAACATTTAGCATATTTTCTTTTGGACCTCCTTTTGATATTTTTGATAATTTCTAAGTTTAAATTAATGCATACCAAATGGTTTACAAACCTGCATGTTATGGAGCCCTTCCATATAAAGTTATTGGCATTCTTTGCAGTTCTTTTATGATTCCCAGTTTTTAACCAACATTTTTGAGAGGTTTTCTACCCAAAGAAATGCTTGAAATTGAATGAGATAAAGACAATCACACCACTTATTTTTTTCTTTGCGATCAGTGTACAGACGCTTTTTACTACAGTGTCCAAAACTGACTCAGACAATGTCTGTGACTTCTGCACTTCAGTTTTCTATGTGAAAAAATGAGATGAGAAAAAGAAAAAGAAAAAAAAATCAAGCTGAATCAAAGACTATGTTGAAACACTGTTCTTTGACGCAGTGCTGCCAATGTGCAACGTGTTTTAGCACGCTGCCTCTGAGGGCTGAATCGTTGGCTAGATACTTGGATACAAATATTTTAGAGGCTGTGTCAGGGTAGCACACGTCCCTCTTTAAAAAAGTATTAGTCATTTTTTTAAATCTTCCGTATCTGGTTATTATGGGGTTTTTTTATTGAATGAACCAAATTGTCAAAGAACTCTGTGTTCAGTAATTTCTGTCACTTTTTGCCTCTTACATACCTTTCTATCTGTTTCTATATCTTTTCAGGTAATTCCTTTTTTTAATGCAGAGGGTTGATTCAATGGAAATACCACTTTTAATTATAACTTATGTGTCAGTGTGGAGCTCTCGATCATATGCCCATTCAAACCACTTGTTCATATTTTTCACCTCATGTTTCATTTTACCGATTACCGAAATTACACATTAGCAGACCTCACAGCTAGAAAAAATACAGTCACATAATTATGAGATGTTGTTTTTATATATAACTATATTATAAATTATGTTTTATAATATCTAAGTATATCACTGGTTGGAGATACAATATTTATTTCAATATTCATCTACCAGACATATTAAAGTAAACAACTATATCTAATTTGCTTAACACAGAGACAAAAGAGGTTGTGGTTTTAGGAAGTGTCTGAAATCCAACTGTACAGAGCTGATGGTAAATGTCAAAAAACACACTTTACCAAAGTCAAACTTTGTCGTTTTCATTTTTGTATAAATTTGCTCAGATCAATTAAGTAAGATACAATTTAAGCTTTAGCGGTGCAGGTGAGAACGTGTTTTGGATGGTCTCCCATGATAATTTCTGGATTAATGTGCATTAATCCAGAAATTACTTGTTACTGTCTTGACATCTAATTTCTATTTTGTGTGGAGAGCCAGAAAAAGTACTTCTAAGGTGCTTATCTTAACACTTTCACACATAGTGGTCACTAGAGTGGACAGCTATTCGAATGCTGTTTTCTTGCATTTGTGCCAGTGTTGATGCGATATTTGCACATAAATTACTACATTGGACACTGATGTGTCACTCCATACCCTGTATATAAATATATTAAGTATTTATACA